GTGGAGGGGGGGGCGGGGGAGGGGGCGGGGGGGGGGTGGGGGGAGGGGGGGGGGGCGGGGGGCGAGAGAGGGAGGAGAGGTGGGGGGGGAGAGGGGGGATGGGGGGGGGGGAGGGGGGGGGGGAGGGTGGGGGAGGGGGGGAGGGGGAGGGGAGGAGGGGGGTGGGGGGAGGGAGGGGTGGGAAGGGGCGGGGGGGGAGGGCAGGGGGAGGGGGAGGAAGGGGGGGGAGGAAAGGGGGGGCGGGAGGGGGGGGGAGAGGGGGGGGAGATGATGGGGGGGAGGGGGGGGGGGGGAGGTGGGGGGGGTGGGGAAGGTGGGGAGGGGGGGAGATGAAAAGCGGAAGGGCCATGAAGCCTGAAGAAAGCCATGGCTAGTGCCCGGTTTGGCACTTCCAGATTTCAACCAACAGTTTGTGATGAGCTGAGCTTCAGGAGGATGGTTTGGGAGCGGTACTCATGCAGAATCAAGCGCATTGCTTTCTTCAGCCGAATCTACAAATAGAGCAAGGCTAAAATCAGTTATGAGCGGAACTGATGGCCATTGTTGAAAATTGTCCTTTTTTAACTGATCAGTCAAAGGACCTGCTATGGAACCATAGCCCTTGATGAACCTCCTGTAGTAGCCCGTAAGTCCCAAAAATCCCCTTAGTCCTTTAAGGGATTTTGGTGTAGGCCACTTCACCATGGCCTCTATCTTGGTGGTGTCAGCTGCCACCCCACTCTCTGAAATGATGTGTCCCAGATACTCCACCTCCTTCTGAGCGAAAGAACACTTCTTCTGGTTGGCATATAGCTGATGCTCCAATAAGGTCGTGAGTACCACCCCAAGATGGGTGATATGGTCCTGCAGAGATTTGCTATACACCAATATATCATCAAAAAAGACTAAAACAAACCTCCTCAAGTAGGGCTGGAAGACCTGATTCATCAGGGCTTGGAAAGTGGAGGGAGCGTTAGTGAGCCCGAACGGCATCACCAGAAACTCATAATGGCCCTCATGTGTTCGGAAGGCCGTCTTCTGAATGTCTTCAGTCCTCATCCTAATCTGGTGATAACCAGACTTCAAGTCCACCTTGGAGAAGATGGTGGCTCCTCCAAGTTCATCCAAAAGTTCATCTACCACAGGAATAGGGAACTTGTCCAACACAGTCTCCTTGTTGAGGGCCCGGTAGTCTACACAGAATCGCCAACTACCGTCTTTCTTCTTCACTAAGAGTGCAGGACTGGAAAATGGGCTCACACTAGGCTGGATCACCTGAGCCTCCAACATCTCTGCTACCAACCTCTCAATCTCCTCCTTCTGAGCATGAGGATATCTGTAGGGTCTCACGCTGACGGGTGCTACCCCGGTCTTCAACACAATAGCATGCTCCCTGGATCTGACAGGTGGTAACCCCTGGGGCATCTGAAACACGGAGGAGTGCTGCTGTAGAAGGTCCTGGATCACCTCAGGTATGACTTCTGGCTCTCTTTCTTCCTCCCTGCCCACTTGCTGTAGTTCTATCAAATAGCCCTCTCCCTCATCTCTCAAAGTCTTGAAGATGGACTTCAAGGCCACTCTGGCTCTGCATAAACTGGGGTCTCCCTGTAGTGTCACTTTCCTGCTCCCCTTTCCATACTCCATGTATAACTTCTTCCAATTCACCTTCATCTCACCCAAGGACTGGAGCCACTGCATCCCGAGTATCACGTCAGTGCTTCCCAAGTCCAACAATAGAAAGTCTTGCACTGTCTCCTCCCCTTGCAATGTGAGGGTCACTCCCTTACACTGCCCGCTACAGCGCTCCTTCTTCCCCGTGCCCAAAATAACTCCTACCCCTCTCCCTTGGGTCACCGGTAGTCCCACCCTCTCCACCAATCTGCAAGCTATGAAGTTGTGGGTGGCCCCACTATCAATCAAAACCATCACCTTGTACCCTGCAATCTCCCCTTCCAGCTTCATGGTGGAATGCGATGTCAGTCCGGCTATGGAGTTGAGTGAGACCTCCACCATAGCCAAATGATGGTGCTCTTCCTCCTCTCCATCCTCCTCATTTGCCCCTGTGTCTCCTTCCTCCTCCTCTGAATCCCCCACTATGATCACATGTAGTGTCTTCTCCTTACACCTATGTCCTGGTGTAAACTTCTCATCACATCGGTAGCAAAGGCCCTTGGCCCTTTTTTCCTTCAGCTCTGAATCAGTCAATCTTTTGAACCCCCCTTGGTTCACTGCCATAGTGGTTTTCTCCTTGGCTACCTCCCTAGGAGGAAGGATGGTAGCCGCCTTTGGGCCTCCTGTCATGAGTGGTGGTCGGTAAGTGGGGTAAGATACCCCTGATCTCCTCGGTGGCTCCACCTTCAGCTTGTCCTCTACCAGCTGTGCAGTCTCCATTATCTTCACTAACCCATGTGGATCAACTACTCTGATGGCTGCTCTGATGTGGGGCTTCAACCCCTTCATGAAATTCCCCTCCAAAAGGTCATCTGGAATCCCTCTTAATCGGCCTGAGAGTAGCTCAAAGTGCTCCCTGTACTCTGCCACTGTGCCCTCCTGCACTAGAGCCAGAAACTGCTCATAGTATGTACCCTCGCTAGACACCCGGAATCTATGAAGTAGGAGGTCTTTGAACTCCTCCCAACTCCTAACATGTTGTCTCCCTTCAAGCCATTGAAACCAGGCCAATGATTTTCCCTCCAAACATATCGGAACCGCCATCAACTTTTCCTCTTCTGTGACGCCATTCACTGCAAAGTAGCGCTCCACCCTGTAGATCCACCCATAAGCATCCTCTCCTTCAAAAATAGGAAGCTTTAATTTTCTCATGCGGTTGTCGGCTCGGTTGAAGGGTCTTCCATCTCCCCATGTCCCCTGAGTGAATCCCTCCCCCGGTGGTCTTCCCCTCCTCTCCCCCGGGTAAGGATTTTGGATCCCCCGCCATGGTGGTTCTCTTGGCTCACCATAACCCATGCCGTAGTCATCCCTTCTTCCTCCCTGCTCCCACGTGGCACGGTTCCCTTCCGGAAATCCCCCCATCTGATTCGGCCACCCTTCACGTGTGCTGTGGAGGCCCACCGAGCCCATGTGTGGCCGGCCCCCTTGACCACCGGTCATTCCCCAAAGGCCGCCCACTCCAGACCCTTCTCCCCCTTCCCTTGGCCATTGCCCTTGCATGCCATTTTCACTCTGATTTACTCCTTCTTCCCTAATTGGGAAATTAGGGTTAGGGTTAGGGTTAGGGTTTGTCACCGGAGATTTCCCTTTTTCCTTAGGATTTGATGGAACAACTTGGGCTTCTAACAATTTCCGGATCATCTCTTCCATTCCCCCAAATCTCTCCTCTAGGGTTGAGAATTTTCCCTCCAACGAAGAAAGTTTCTCACCCACTTCCTCTTTCAATTGGCCCATTTCCCCCTCCAAAACTTCTACCTTCTTTGATGCCATGCCGTCTAGGATCGAGAGCTCTGATACCAAATTGATACGCCCTAGGGTTTCACAATTTCGGTTTTGCCCTAATTTCCCCCAAAAGAGAGGAAGTTCTCCACCAAAACCAAGGAGAAATAATCACAAGATTGTTGAGATGAAAAACAAGAACATTTGCATTAGACATCCAAGAGAAAACAAGATATGTTTGTCCACTTCGAGAAGGACAAGATCTCCCACAAGAAAACCCTAGAAAAGAACAAGAAGGAAACTAGAAGAAGAAAACTAGAAAGAGAATACACTTTTCATAATGCCTCCAACTAAACCCTAATGGCCCCCTTCATACAATCCAAAAGTCCCTCACATCCCCAAATTACCCCCACTTAAGTGGGTGGGCCCCTTTTTGTCCAGCCGGTCCGCCCGCCTCCCATAAGTGAACCGGTCCATCAAAGTTTGAGTAGCTCGAATGATAGATAAGGTTAGAGAGCTTCCTTAGATGGCTTAGTCACATAAAATGTCGCCTTTCTGATGACCCGGTTAGAAGAGTAGATGTATTAGATGTAGCTTATGTTAAGAAAAGTAAATGTTGTCTTAAAAAGAATTGGTTGGAAAGACTTATAAATGGCATTTTTTTTATTAGATTTAAATGAGAATTTAACTTTTAATAGGAATAAATAGAGAAAAAATGATTCATGTAGCCGATCCCAGGTTGTGAGATAAAGGCTTGATGTAATTGTTGTTATTGTTTTATTTGCATGTATGTGGTTAACAGTCTCTTTGCACGTTAAACTGATATCTTTGTACTATATGTGGTTGTGGGACTCCCGCTGAATTATTGTAGAACCCTTAAGATTGGCTTAAATGCAGAGTTGTTGCTTGAAATGTCTGGAAGCAGTTTCTATGCGACTTGCATGCTTTTTAAAGGAGTCTTTCTGCTTATTTAACTGTTATTTTTTAGAAAATTCTTGTTTTTAGTTTGTAAGAGGGCAGTAGACTGTGATTTACATGAAAGATCTTTCATCTTGTCTTGTACCTTTATGTGTTGTCTGATTGATGTTATATGTAATATTGCTGGATTGCTCTCGTGTGTTCATCAGGTTATCACCGAGTCATTGGAAGAGTTTGAAATTATGGCTATAAATCATGGAGATGATATGCACAAGTTAGAAGTCAAAGCAAGTGCTTGTGATACGGGATCAAAAGAGAATGGGATGGAAAGAGATGACCATTATACAGACATCGAAATAGAAGATAAACACGGAAATGAAGTAGACTCGGATTATGAGCCAGCAAAAGATTCTCTTTCATCACATAGTAATGAAGATGGCAAGGTAAAAAGGAACTCCAGAGTTCCCAAAAAACTTTCAAAGAAAGAATCGGGTGAAAGCTATCTTCGCCCAACTAAAGTTAGCAGTAATCGTCAAGAACAGAAGAAGCTGCAGTTTAGGACATCAAATAATGGATCCAAGAGATCTCAAAAGCCCACTAAGGTTGCTTCCACCCACAAAAGCCTTGACAATAAAAAACCAGAGGATGCCACATTTCCTTCAAGACCTTCATCTGAAGTATCAGAGGAAATTGATGATAAGACTATTGAAGAGGTCAAGGAGATAGATGTAGATGATGCTCCTGTTTGTGATCAAAGCGGTGGAACTGATGACTCCGTTGCTGATACGGAAGAGAACAACCTTGATGATGACAAGGTGTGTGCTTATCAAAAGATTGAAGATATGGAACTCAAAATTGAGAAGCTTGAAGAGGAGCTCATGGAAGTTGCTGCACTTGAGATTTCTCTTTACTCGGTGGTACCAGAACATGGAAGCTCAGCACATAAGATCCATACACCTGGGCGACGTCTTACTAGGCTATACATTCATGCCTGCAAGCATTTGAGCCAGGACAAGAGGGCAAGTATTGCTAAGAACATAGCTTCAGGGCTTGTTTTGATTGCCCGATCCTGCGGAAATGATGTGCCTAGGTACTGATGCTGTGTAACTGCAAATCTGTATGCATTTCTGCATTGATTTCAAAGGCCGTGTACAACCTTCCTTTCATTTTGCAGGTTGACTTTTTGGTTATCAAACATTGTTTTCCTAAGGGGGATTATTACTCAAACTTTTGGTCATTTATCTCCATCAAGTATGATTATGAGATCTTCAGATTCAAATAGTTCAAACAAATCGGCCAGTAAACTACAATCTCTGAAATGGAAAAACATCTCTGGGGGTAAGCAAGGAAAGATGCTTTGTCTTGTGCCCAAACTAGACGATTGGCAGGAGACGAGCACATTTATAGCTGCACTTCAAAAGATTGAGTCTTGGATATTCTCCAGGGCTGTTGAATCAGTTTGGTGGCAGGTATAAGACTTAAACATTGTATGCTTTTCCTTTGATGGTTTTTGTTCTAATTAACGCATAGCAATTTAACATGTGAAATATTGATCATTAGGTTTGATATTTGTGATGATTTTGTCTCTCAGTTACTCATGATTAATAATAATCTAATTGGTCCTATACTTCATCATGTACTCTAGTCTACTTCCACTCTTTTTTCAGGCCTTGACTCCACACATGCAGCCTCCAGTTGAGGATTTTTACCAAATAAAAGGAGTAGGCAAACTGTTAGGGCCTGCTTTGGGCGATCCTCAGCAAGGAAATTTTTCTGTTGATTTATGGAAGAGTGCCTTTCACGATGCATTCTCTAGGCTTTGCCCTGTTCGAGCTGGGAGGCATGAGTGTGGTTGCTCGCCTGTGTTGTTAAGACTGGTGCATTTCCATTTTCAATTTTTATTTTATATTGGCACGTAAAAATAGTTCTAGTTGTTTTACTGGAGTTGTTTAATGATATAATTTGTTTATACAAAATAAAAAGTTAGTTATATTTAACTTTTTAAGTTCGGTTGTGTTTAAAAGCTGATCCACTTAATTATATTTTAATATTTTTAACTGGATTTATTTTTTATCATTATTTGCTATAAATTAGCATGAAAATTTATCCTTATTTCATTAATTAAGATATGTTTATCTTTTGATATAAAGTAAAATGAAAACTATATGTGAAATTTTTTAATGATATATCAATACAAATGCATGATTTATTTTATTAGTGTTCTTGCACTTTGAATATCTATCAAATTTCTTCTATTATTTCATCAAAAAATGGCATTTAAGAATTTTCTCTAACTTATTCTCAGATCTCTTTTGATTCCAATTTTTCCATGGTTTGTTAAACTAATGATTTTGGATTCAAATCTATATGTTGATAATATAGGAACCTTATAAACAATAATGGTTAAATAAGCAAGAGAAAGGTTGGTGAGAGAGAATGATAAGCTAGAGTGAAAGCTAATGGATTTCACTAGATTCTAGAAAGTAAGATACTTGAGCCAAGGTGATTTAATGTGTCATGCTCACCCTTCCATTATTTTTATAAGATCGGGTCAAGACACAATGCTACAAGAAATGCTACTTTTGAATTACATAAGTCATAAGTACATTAAAGTTTCATTTGGGGTAGCTTTTAATCACTATTTTCTCATTTCTTTTAAAACTTTTTATACTAAAAGGTTCCTGTAGAAAGCAACAAGAAAATTGTCCCAAGCAAAGCCTAAAGGCTTAAAAAAATTATTGAAGTAAAATATTCGAGTCTTGCAGCCAAAAATACATAAAGAATGTTAATTACTCAATGGAGGCTAAATCAATGGGATGTTGCTTACCAAATTCACTTAAATTTGTTTAATGTTGGCGAGTAAATTAATTGTTTGGTCAAATTGCCTTGGTGAGTTGGGTTGAGTTGCTTTCAAGAAATACTTGAATGCTTGTTGGATGACTAGGCCTGGTCGGTCATTAGGTTGAATACACTGGAATTGGATGTTCTGATCAACTTGAATTCAGAGGTGAGTTTGGTATAATCCTGGCAACATCAAGAGATTGATCATTCTGATTCGACCAACTAACCTTAAACATGGTCTAGTGAGCCAGCTAACTTGACTTTAACCCAATCTAGGTGATATGAGGGTGCACAGATGATACCTTTTTTCCTTGGAATTATTTGATGATACCATTTATTTGTGTGATTAACTCTTCGCATGCGATTCTCGCTGCTTCCCTATCATAGCCACTAGAGTGAACACTTGAGCTTCAAGCAAGCTGTTTTATTTGGTTAGACTAACCATTACCTTTTATTTTTCACAGGTAATGGAACAGTGTATCAATAGATTAGATGTAGCCATGTTTAATGCCATTTTGCGGGAATCAGCAAATGAGATTCCGACAGATCCAGTGTCTGACCCTATTGTTGATCAAAAAGTTCTTCCGGTTCCTGCTGGAGATTTGAGCTTTGGATCTGGCGCTCAGCTTAAAAATTCTGTAAATTCTACTTCAATTAAGCTTTTAATATTCTCTGATACATTTATTTCATTTACTGTAGTTCTACAGTATACAACTCTTAACTATGTAAATCGAATTGTTCTTTTACAGATTTAGTGCTTGTTTTCTTGTTTCCATTCTTGTTATCATGTGATGGTAATAACCAGTATATTTTTGGCCGCGTAGGATTTCGTTACAAAAAAAAAAAGTTAAAATGGTCCCATGTCATTTTAGTCACGCCCTAGACTACTATAATAGACTATAAATCTATTCAATTTAGTTTATTGATTCCTCAAATATGATTTAATTAGTTCTTTTGTTGGATCATTTTAGATTAGATTTGAGCAGTTAATGGATTATTTTTGATGCAGGACTACTTAGATGACATGCTCATGGATTCATGTGGGCATTGCACAACTAGTAGATTAGAACAATTTCGAAACTAAATTACAAGCAATTTTCAAACGACGATTAAAACAAATGAGTGGATCAATTGCGTAGGCTAAATCACATGCTTCAAGTTTGAGCTATCAAAATAATTGAGAAAATAAAAGCAATATAGAATAGTAGTTTTCAAGTTAATCCCTAATCTAACAACGAGATTTAGGATGCATAGAAAGAACGCTCAATTCCTATGAATTTACTAGGCTTAGCAAGAGCACTTGGATGAGTCTTTGCGATTACAATCAAGCCAACGAGAATTTAGACCTCCAACAAATAAGACACAAGTGAGAAAAGAAACCTTTGCCAAAGGGATGTGGAGATCTTTCACTCAAGGCTTTCAACATGCTCGTTGATGGCTTCCGTTAGAACGCACAAGATGCCATCCACGTCCTCTTCAATAGTATGTTCAATCTCTTTCTCCTTGATGATGTACTCAGATGTCTTGTGAAGAAAGAAGCTTCTCTTGTTTTGTGGGAGGGAAAGGGCCAAATGCTGGAATCTGAAATTGGTTTCAGATTCTTGTCAGTAGATTATGAAAATTTAGTAGAGAAGAGCCAAGAGGGTCCGTGGAAAATTCAGCCAGCAGCAGGTATTGGCTTCCAACTCTTCTCACGAGGAGATCAAGCACTATGGAGGAATTTCTAAGGAGATCCCAATAGGAAGGTTGGCTGTTACGGGTGAGAGGAGAAATCCAGAAATTTGTTTCCTAAATCATAATGAGAATATAGGAAATATTAAAGAGGTGGACTTGAAGAAAAAAATCGGCTCAGGGAATTTCTTTCCAAAACCCAAACGTGGAATAGGAAAGAAATAAAGCATGTTTGATTTTGGATATTTCGACCAAGAGCAACAGAAATAAGTTGAATTATTTCTAAATGTACTTAACAGGTAATTAGGAAATAAATCCCGATTTTGCTCATATGATGGCCGGCGGCATCCAAGGATGAGGGAGGGATTTGTAAACACAAGTGTAGGAAAAAATCTTAATAATCATCCATTAACCCAAAACAAAGGAAATGACGCTATAAATAGCCGGGTACAAAGACTCAAGAAAATAAAAGACCAACTTGCCCTTTGGGCTTACATGCGACCACTCCCATGAAAGGGGTACAAAGGGAAATAATAACGACACCTAAGAAAATAAGAAAATGCATAAATAAAATAAAATACAATCATGACTCAGAAATACAAGGACTCGATCATGATCGTAGATCGGCGGCCACGTCTCTGATAAACCTTCCACGCTGATCTGATGTCCCCATCAAATTTGGATTAAGTTTGAGAATTCTATGAACTAAATGGGACAAATTAGACTATCTAGGACTAAAATAGCTCCTCGTAAATGATCTAAGGAACATTTTTGACATCTTGCTCATTTAGATACAGTTAGTTTAATGTGGCAAAATGAGAATGTTAGGATGAATTTTCTTGAGGAAGGATGAACTCTGAATAACTCAAATTAAAGCAATTGTCATTGTACAACTCTTGGTCATCAGGTTATAAAGCATTTACTTAGTTGTTTTTGTGCATGTATAAAATGTTGATAGATGTGTTGATGAGTAGATAGACTACTGTGTAAATAGAGAGGAATGAAAAGGGATAGAACAAAATGTATATCCCATATTAATGTTCTTATTGGCAAGTATAATGATAAATTAGATTTAAACCTTTATTCAGAAAGAAGCATATAGTGTACTGCTTATTTATTTATTTTTTCTTCATTTGATCTTAAAATTGACATAAATAGGTAAGTACTAATCCAGAATTTTCATTGATGGATAGAAAACTGATGTCCTGCTTATGCTCTCTAGCTGCTCTTTTTTGGCATGTTACTCTGTTGAGTGCTCTTCAATCAAAACTTCTAGAACCAGTCGTTTCATTTTTTCTTAATCTCTCAATTGATTTCTATGCATGAACATATTTTGTTACTTCAATCTATTTATATTATATCTATTAGAGAGGCTTTAAAGAAAATGAAGTGTGGAAAAGCAGTTGGACCTGATGATATTCCAATAGAGGTGTGGAAATACTTTAGGAGATGAAGGAATTTTTTGGTTTACGAAACTTTTCAATATTATTTTGAAGACAAAAGATATCCGATGAGTGAAGGAGTATGATGATTCATTTTTTTAAGAATAAAAGTGAAGCACAAGAGTGTGCGAATTATAAAGAAATTGAGTTAATGTGTCATACTTTTAAAACTTTGGGAGAGAGTTATTAAGCATTGGTTACAACGTGATACTAATGTTTTTCAAAATCAATTTAGATTCATGTTTGGTAGGTCTACTATGGAAGCTATATATTTATTGAGAGGTTTGTTGAAGAAGTATTGGGAGAATAACGAGGATCTACATATAATATTTATTGATATAGATAAAGCATATGATAAAGTTCCATGAGAAGTGCTATGGAGTGTTTTAGAACAGAAGTGTTATTAATGCTTATACTCAAGTTATTAAGGATATGTATGATGATGCTGTTGTGTTCAAATACAAGGAAGTTGGACCACATATTTTTTTCTATTTCAATTGGATTACATCAAGGATCAGCTTTAAGACCATATCTTTTGGCTTTTGTCATGGATGTTCTTACTAGAAATTTGTAGGAGGATGTACCATAGTGTATCCTTTTTGCTAATGATATTATTCTTGTTGATAAGATTACATAAGGAGTTGAAGGTAATAGATTTAATGGGGGGATTGTGACTTTGGGCGATCAAGTCATTGATAAAAGTACACATTTTAGATATCTCGGGTCTATTTTTCCACAGTGATGGTGAAATAGATGGGGATATTATTAGTAGAATTTAAGTTGAATGATTGAAGTGGAGGAATATATCGAGCTTGTTGTGTGATAGAAAAGTACCTCTCAAACTTTAGGGAAAATCCTATATAATGGTGGTGAGACTTGCAATGCTTTATGGCACAAACTATTGGCCATTTTAAAAAAAGCATTCAATTAAGTTAAGTGTTGCAAAGATGAGGATGCTCAAGTGGATGAGTGACTTTGCTCTTAGTGATAGAATGTGAAACGAGCATATACGTGATAAGGTTAGAGTAGCTCTAATGACAGCTAAGATTAGAGAGAGTCGTCTTAGATGGTTTAAAATGTTGGCATTTTGATGACAGGATTAGGAGAGTAGATTATTAGATTTGGCCTATTTTAAGAGAGGTAGACTTACAAAGATTTGATTAGATAATGTTATAAATGACTCTTTTTTTTAGATTTAAATGAGAATTTGACTCTTAATAGGATACAATAGAGAAAAAAGATTCATTCAGCCAGCCCATATAGTGGGATAAAGGCTTAAGTTGTTGTTGTAATCTATTTTTATTATACCTACATTTTGTGATACAGAAACTAATCATGTGATTCTTGTATGGATTTTCATTTAACATTATGACAAGGAATAGGTATTTCAGGTTTGCTATTTTTTGAACGGTGTTCATTTAACAACAGATTGGCAGTTGGTCTAGATGGCTAACTGATTGGTTTGGCATGGATGTGGACAATTCTGTTGACGATGAAGGAATTGATAACAAGGATGATGATAGAACAACAAAGGATACTAAATCCAAATGCTTTGGTCTCCTCAATCAGCTCAGTGATCTTTTGATGCTTCCTAAAGATATGCTTCTTGAGAGGAAAATAAGGAAAGAGGTGAAATTTTGGATTAATACTGTGATTGTCTGATCAACATTATATTTTTCAGTTAGAAATATTTCCATGAGCTTATATTTATATTTCTATGATATTAAGGTGTGCCCCTCGATTGGTTTGCCCTTATTAACACGGATATTGTGCAACTTCACCCCTGATGAGTTCTGTCCAGAACCTGTGCCGGGTATTGTCCTTGAAGAGCTTAACTCTGAGGTATGGTCCAGAAATGAAAATTATCGACACCTCATTTGTTATAATTATGGTCCTGAAATAAGGAGAAACATCTCATTTGAGGATTTCAAAATTTAATTTTTTTTGGATTATATATATTAAGGAAATAATACAAATTTAAGCCAGAGCTTAAAATATTATAGGCAGTAAAGGGGCTATTTTGTGGCAAGATTTATATAGTATTTAAACTTAATCTTTTAAAATGGCTGAAAAAGTTATTTTAAATCCTGCAATTTTCTAAATCTTGTGTTTCCTCTGTTTCACTTAAATTCTTGGATTTACTAAATCCGGGAATTGGGCAGATTTAATTTAAATATGGATATTTTGACAATTTTTTTTTTCTCTTTCAAATATGATAATCTCATCAATGCCTTTACCAATGAACACTCATAGCGACATTTTAACTTATTTATTTATTTTTTATCATTTTTATGGGGTTGGTTTTAGGTTGGATCATAAAGGGGACAAAGATGATAAAGATGAGAGTTTTAAATGTTGTGCATTTTCAAGTTAATCTTGATAACTAATATTAATTTACTATAAAATATTAAATTAATATTATTTTTTGTTTAATTTAATTGAATTTAAATTCTTTTGTTTATTTAGTTTATTCAATATATTTTGAGCTTTTGATTGTTTACTCCTTATCTTACACGACCCTGTTGTGGCAATCATCGCTTGTCCATCAGTCTCTAATAGAGGAAAGACTATCAGACAATGAACACCAAAACAACAATTTCCCATTTGCCGCTTCTCCGGTCGCATACTCCCACCCCAACCTTTCTAATTTGGCCTTAAAGGTGGCAGAGTTTGATGCCCAGTCCTCAAATTTGCAGAGGAAGACATCAATGGCGCAGAGGAAGGGCTATACCAGCGATGAAGACTTTGATGATCTGGATGATCCCCTTGCCTCCATAATTGAACGAACTCCTCCAGTTTCCCCAGCAATATCAGGAGATAAGGCCATGCAAAACTCATTATCAAGCGTGAGGCACAAACTCCTACGTGATGTGTGGTGCGAGTGAGCACTTTCATGCTTGATTGTTTGTAAGATATGAGGTATATAGTATTATCTGTATATCTGTCTTGTACGAAAGCTTTAGGTTCAGTTTAGATTATTTTCTAAAACTCTGCGTTGTTGCGCTTGTTGAGAATCAGATTTACTTGGATTGCTCGCCAAAAAGCTGCCGTTGGGTAGCAAGAAGGTGAAATTGTTTTTTAGAAGGAAAAGAGAATCTATGTAGTATTATTGTTGTAGATTGTAGAATTCTTCCCATACTTTCTTTTGTCTGATGGAATAGCTTATTGATAGAATGTATGCAAGGTGAGGATTGCCAGCTGCTTAAAGAACTTCTATAAATATTTTCTTTTGAGTGGTAGGTTTGCTGGTGATTTAAGTACAATTTCAAGCAAAAACAATTTGCTGATGTAAGTAAAGCATCAAATCTTTGGTTTACAGAAGCACAAAAGAAAAAAATGGATAAAGACGAAATGAGCTGTTTGGTTTTCTAGGATATTCAATATTCAACCCCTGAAACGAGCAAAAGCTCTAATTTTATCAAAATATGCTATCTGAAATCATAATGATTTTAAGATATCATTACTAGTAGTGTAGTGTGATGGGGGTTGGGAAGTGTAATTTTGAATTATAGAAAAAAATGTTTAAGGCTCTATCTTCTTTAAATAATACTTAATTTTTTTAATATATGAAAAATAACAAATCACTCTTAATATATGCAAGTATATATGTTGAATCAAGTAATAAAATGATAGTGTTAAACCCATGAAAAAGTATATTCTTGAATAATCAATTACTATAGTTTACTCTAATTGTAAAATTAGTTTTTTGAAATAAAAATGTTGATTATGGAGATTTAATTACTAACTAAAAATGATAAAAATAATGGATACTATTTAAATTTTCTATCATTATCACTACATATAGTTGATATTTTCACATCTTAATTTCCTTTGAATCAACCTGGAGAAATTTTCAAATTTCTCAAATTATTCATTTTTTATGTTCTAGGAAATTTAATGTAGGTATATAATCACATATCCAAAAGACTTCTAACCTATGCTGGCGGTACTAACTAGTTCAAACAGGTCTTTGTCGATGATTTTTAAAGGCCTAAATGTGTTGATGTCCTTAATGGGATGAAATAATGTTTTGACCTATTTTCCTAATTGAGAGACATCATAAAGATAGTCCTTAAAGAATTCTAGTTTGAGTATGCCTCTAACTTGATTTTTTTGGGTGATTTTCCTAAGAGTTTTCATGTCCCTATGTTATAGGTAGGATTCAGCAACAATAGATGTTAAACATACATAATTTGAATAATCAACACAATTCAAATTAGCATATAAACATTTTTTTTTAATTATTTTACATTCTAAAATGATATTTCTATTTATGCTGATTAAACACTCAGTAAATTGAAATTTAATGTCAAAGTCTTTATCACATAATTGACTGATGCTAAAAAAATTATGCTTTAATCAATTTACTAGTAAAATATTTTTAATTATAAAATTATTTGAGTTTCTAATTATACTTGAGCCCACCACTTTCTTGATTGTGTTGTCTTCCAGTGTAACCTTATCTCTTACCCTAGCCTCTAGCGTAATGAATTTCTTCGAATCTCCAGTCATATGTCTTGAGCATCCACTATCTAGGTACCACATACTTTCACTAGGCCTTTTGTGAGAGCACCCCTACAATGTCAATTAGAGATTAGATTTGTGAACCTAAGTGAGTTTTGAAAGTGCTCTGATACCACTTGAAAGTTCGTTAGGGATGTTAAGCCCTATGAACTTAGTCACAAGCTAACCAAGAGAGGGGGGTGAATTGGTATTTTAAAAATTTCTTTTCACAAAGAACAAAAATCACATAAACCAAAATCACACCACGAGAAAAATAAATGCGGAAATTAAAATGCGTAAGCAAGAAAACAAGAACAAAGAGATTTATAGTGGTTCGGTCAACTTGACCTACGTCCACTCCTTGGAGGCACCCTCCAAGTATTGCACTACAAACGTGACTCTCCTTTAGCCCCTAAGGCTAAGAGGAGAAGCCTTCACAAGAACCTCCTTTTTGCCACCCCGGCAAGGCAGAGAACATATCTCCTTTTGCTTCCTCTGGAAGCTGGCAGAGAACCAACAACCAGATGCTTACTCCTTACCTCTACCGACCCTTCCATGGACGAGAAACTCTAGACGAAGAAGAAGCATAGCGATCCTTGAACAACCCTTGTGAATCCCCTCATAAGCTCCCCCTCACAAAATCCTCTCTCTCTCCCTCTCTCTCTTTCTCTCCTCAAGGCCTTCTCAGGTCAAGACAGCAGCCAAATGTTTTTCAAAACGTTGAACAAGAGCTCTTAAATAGAAGAGCTTCAAAGGAGCTCATTAATTGCAAGTTGTCGAGAATATCGTCCAGGCCGATATGGACATCGGCCTGGCCGATCAATACAAAACTCAGAAGATCGGCCAAGAGCAATCGCCAGCTTGAATGCACAAAACAGGGAAGATCTTAACAAAATGCTGATCGTCTAGCGCCGATCATCACTGAACGTCCGGCTGATCAGTTCTAGATCAGAGGAAAATCAGACCAGCAGCATCGACCTGAATTAGAGCTGGTCGATTATTTATCGTCCTAGTAACCAAGTTTTTGAATAGATCTCCTGGCTGATCCTGCGATCGTCCAGGACGATATGATCGTATCATCGTCCTTAATTACTCCTTGATTTCTTGATCAATTAAGGCATATTTGAGAATATCGTCCAGGCCGATCAATATACGTCCTGACGAATAATTAAAAATAATATATCTTAATTGTCTATGGGCAACTTCATCCTGTTCTGAGCTTATCGTCCTGTGGCCGATTTTAACTTTAATGACGCTGCCTTAATAAATTCATATTTAGACTTTCTGTTTTAGTCCTGATCGTCCAGACGGATGTAAATATCGTCCTACGCGATCTGAGTAAAAATAGAAATTCTAATCTCTCAAGTGTGTTGTTCGGGTTTACTTGCATCCAGTCTCTTTGACAATTATAAATAGACTCAAGAAGAGAAAAAATAAAGTACAGACTGACTCAACCCTAAACCTACGCAATCTTGAACTGGCTTCGTCTGTTCGTCCAATCTTTGATTCCTGAAAAGTTAGAAGCAACAAGCAGTCCAAGAGAATCAACAGTGTTTGTCATTCATCAAAACATAAGTCATGAAAATAGATTTGCAACAATCTCCCCCTTTTTGATGATGACAAACAACAAGTAGGAAAAACTCAGAGAAAAACAAATTCACTAGAAATTCAAAGTTACAAGCACATACCCTTTTCCTACCACATCCTACTCCCCCTTTTGTCATCACAAAAAGAGAGTCCTAGACACACAAAAGAAAAAGTAAATAGAAATTAAAACAAACCACAAGACAAACTACAAAAAATAGAAAACAGAAAACACAGACTAGAAAAATGAGGGATCCTGGTCATCAGATAGAGGTGGTGGAGAAGGAACTCAAGGGAGAGCCGAAATAGCTATTGACTTGAACTGTTGAACTTTAATATCATTAAAAATACAAATGCTAAAACTCGGAATAGAAATAATCAATCAGGTATAATCAACATAGTGCATCTCACTCCCTTGGTTTCCAAATGACAATCCAATGGGAGAATGTTTGATTAATTAAGGGAACAACATCATCATCAATGACAAAGAAACTATACCATAAAATATATAAAATCAAGCGACAACTTGAACCAGAATTGAAAGGTGGTAGCAACAATGCAATAAAATGACATAAAATTAGGAGTCATAGAGAGTTCAGATTTCTAATTCTCGTTGAAGAAAATAACATTAAAGTAGCCATATAACAAAGAGGAGAGAGTCCCTCATTGCCAAGACTTTTTTTTTCTCTTGTAAATTTGGATGAAAATTTACCTAAAGATATGACTATCAATCCTTCAGGATAAGTTGGAGCTCCTTATATTTTCTTAACCAAGGAAACCTTCGATGTATTTTGAGGAAGATGGTTGTTGAACTCGCACCCATCGTTGCTCTAGGGCACGATAAGGAGATGTTTCTCCGAGCAAGCTTTCAATAATCGCATAATAGAAATAAAACATCGAAGCGATACTGAATTTTAATTGAAGTTCGATGAAGTAATTTTATAATTTTTTTTAATCGAGCCAATCGACGAGCTTTTGAGTCAAGTTGGGCTCAACTTGAAATCGAACTCGAAACTCAATAAGCTCGACTTGCTAGCTCGTTAACAAGTCAAGTTTGAGCTAACTCGCAAATCAGCTTGACTCACTTACACCGCTAGTGTACACCACCCATCAAAAGAAAACACAAATGGTTGGGTACTTTCCTTGAAACTACCATTAATTGGGCAGTTTCAAGGGAAAAAAGAACCCAATAAAAACATGTACTCAAAACATAGTTTTTCTTCTCTTTAAATAAAAACACGTACTATTGATTTGGAGAAAGCATATGATAAAGTTCCAAGATAAGTGCTATGGATAGTTCTTGAAAAGTAAGGAGTTAATAACACTTATATTCAAATCATTAAAGATATGTATGCATAAGCTATTACTTATGTTCAAACACAAGGTGGTTTGACCAAGTATTTTCCTATTTTAGTTGGATTACATCAAGGATCAGCCGTAAGTCCATATATTTTTGCCTTAGTCATGGATGTTCTCACTGGACATTTGCAAGAGGATGTATCTTGGTGTATGCTTTTTGCAGATGATATTCTTCTTGTTGAAAAGACTAGAGAGGGAGTTGAAGGTAAATTTGAATTATGGATGTCAACCTTAGAGTCTAAAGGTTTTTGCTTGAGTATATCTAAAACTGAATATATAGAGTTAATTTTAATGGTAATAGACTTAGTAAGGAGATTGTGACTTTGGGCGATCAAGTCATTAATAAGAGTACATGTTTTATTTATCTTAGATCTATTGTTCAGAGTTATGGTGAAATTGATGGGGATATTATCAACATAATTCAAGTTGGATGGTTGAAGTGGAGGAATGCATCGGGCTTATTGTGTGATAGAAAAATACCCCTCAAACTTAAGGGAAAATTTTATAAGATGATGGTGAGACCTGCAATGTTGTACAGTGCCAAATGTTGGCCATTAAAAGAGAAGCATAATACTAAGTTAACTGCTACAGAGATGAGTATGCTCATGTAGATGAGTGGCATTACCCTTAAAGATAGGATACGAAACGAGCATATAAGTGAAAAAGTTGGAGTAGCTCCATTGGATGATAAGATTAGAGAGAGTCGTCTTAGATAGTTTGGTCATATAAAACAACAATCTTCTGATGACCCTGTTAGGAAAGTTGAGGTATTATATTTGATTAATGCTAAGAAAGGTAAAGGTAGACCTAAAAAGACTTAGTTAGAAAATATTAAAAATAATCCTTCTTCATTAGATTTAAATGAGAATTTGTCTTTCAACAGAATACAATAGAGAAAAAGGATTCATGTAACTGACACATATTATTATTATAAATACATTAATTAAATTTTAATTTCATAAATACATAAAATTTGTACGTTACATGTGACTGCTCGCTACTAAAAATCAAGAGATATCTGAGAAGCTTGTTAAATAACTTACATAATTGGCTATTTTCAATTTTTCACAGTTACAATTTCAATTACGTCTGTAGTATTAAATTTTTAAATATATATTTTAAATGTAAAGTAAAAAAATTTATTTAGCTACAATTATTCCTGGCAAAATTGTCTAGTTGAAATTTAAATTATAATAGATATAAAATTAGAATTATAGTTGACTTTGGACATTCATCCATCATATATTACTCTATTTACATATTTAACATCTAAAACTTTAATATTACATACATACCATCCATAATTTATTTTCATATTAAATATAAGTGTAAAAATGAAATATATGAATGTTAGGAAGAAAATATGAATAGTATATTTGATATTATAATAATATATGGTGGTATGTATGTAATATTAAAATTTTAGGTGTTAAATATATAAATAGGATGGTATATAGTATGTATGTTAATTTCCCTTCAAAATATTAGTAAATTTTTATTCAACGTAAATAAATTTCGGGCAACACTTTTGAACGTCCACAAAACTGCCAAAAATGTATAAAATTTTCTGTCTTTCGACTAGGGGTGTCAATTCGGGTCAACGGGTCGGGTTCAGGTCCAACCCGAGTTGACCCTGGCATAAACGGGTTGACCCAAACCTAACCCGTTTAGCTAAACAGGTGAAGATTTCCAACCCGAACAGGCTCATGCAGGTTATCGGGTTAACCCGACCCGACCCGCAAACCCGGGAACTTAGATCTGAGATCGGGATTCGGCCATGGCTCGGTTTGAGCTAGCCAGTGAGGGCGAGAGCTGCGCACAGCGCGCCTGCGTGAGCAATGCACCAATGTGAGCTAGTTGCTTATGGGCCTGTGGCGTGCCTAATGCGAGGCCATGGCGAGACCTAGTGCTCCGCCTCTGCAATTCGTATATTAGACACGATCACGCAAGGCGGTTCCACACTTCTGCGGTTCGACTGTTAGACGAGAGGAGGCGAGGGGACGAGGGCTAGGGCGAGACCGATCATTGGTGTTGCAGCATTGCGATTTGCATTTCTGATGCAAACACCGGCATTGCGACTGTTGGATCAACGGATGCAGCTATGCGAGGCAGTTTGGTAGCCGGGTCAATTTCGTGTAAGCGATTTAACCCGCACCCGACCCTTTTTCTGAACGAATAAAAAATTCAAACGCAAACCAGGCCCGTTTGTTAAACGGGTCGATCCTAACTCGATTTCCGAGTCAGATTGTCAAGTCAGGTCAATAATTGGAACTTTTATTGCATCCTCTGACCAGACGTAAATCTATGTTCGATCAGAGGATTGTTCCTTGATTTTTGCTCGGTATTTGATCGACATTGCTAGGTATTGTTTTATAATAACGAGGAATATCACTCTGGGAAGACCAATACCGAGCAATAACGAGTATTGCCAAAAAATATTGAGTTTTTCTATAAAAAACTCAGTATTTTTTAATACTACTCGGTATTGCTTGGTATTTTGTCTTCACATAATGATATTTCTCGTTATTATTGGTATTGCTTAGTATTTGCTCGGTATTTCTCGTTTTATGCCTGCGATCTTAGTGTCGGCCGAACATAGCTCTACGTGCGTTCACCGGACCAAATAAAAGTTCCAATAATTGACACCCCTAGTTTCAACCAAATAAATTGGCAAAAGCAAAAAAGAAATAATAATGAATTTTGAATCGACTTCAACCGAAACCAAACAGAAATCACCAAATAAAAAACATTTAAACATAAAAAATATGAAACAGATTTGATCGCAAGGGCTTGGTCTTTAGTTATCAGATATCAAGTAGATAGAAAGTAATCAATAGCAATACAGAAATACATTAAACTAGAAAACAGCTTATAGTCCGAACATGCTAACTCAATAAAAGCTCCCAACAAAACCACTTTTAAGACCTCATAAAATTTATTTAATCAGTCTCATCAATAACCTTTGTTCCCAGCCCTTTGAGACCCTCTGGAGGGATCTCAGTAACTGTCACGAGCGAATAGAACTCTTCCTTGGCATCCTCCTCTTCATTTCTTTTACGACCAATTCTCACACGAACCCGTCTTGGAACACTTCGGATTCCCCTACTCCAGATCAGCTTATTAACTTTAACATCGATCCTCACATCTGTCGTTCCCATTGCCTTTTGAGCAAACTTTCTTATCTCTTTTATGGCCTTGGGGGCTTTCTTCTTGAATGTGCTGCACAATAACAAACGAGAATAAATCTCTATGGCATGTACCAGAAATTTCTTGTTCAGATTGAAAAACTGAGAATAAAAAATGAAATTCACAACACAGCTCTACGATCTACCGACACTATGTAATAATGAGATTTATCACAATTGACATATGCAGAACACATGCACTTGAAGCATATAAAACATACCATCTACATGTCTTGTGTATTCAATAATAGATGTGCCCTCTCGTCTATGTTGTGTTCATATCGATGTCCCATAGAGTCAACTCCAATTAACATTTGGCCGCCGGCGGGTGCGGTGGCGGGTGGCGATCAGCGATGATCAAGCAAGCTTGCTTGTAGTGTAAAGCCTTCACGCTCAAAACAGGGCGAGTTTGCTTAACCTCAAAAATGAATTAGCATGGTTTACAGTACATTTACTTTACTTTAAATTCCTTTTTAATCCAACCAAACACCAAAATTGTTAAAACAATTTCATTTCGAATACTTTACAACCTAAAGTATTCCAACCTAGTCGACCCCACGTAGTGGGATAAAGGTTTGATGTTGGTGCTAAAGTATTCCAACCACACAGTCCCTTAATTAGATAATTTTGCTATTATCAGTCTTATCATTGTAATTTTTTGTTACGAGAAGATATGATGCCAACTGTATCATGGAAGACATAGGATGCTGGTTGAAAGGTTTAAGTTTTATAGGCTGTATTTGGCCAAGATATTGAAGTCATGTTTCAAGGTCATCAATGACTTTTGTTATAGCAGTTTCCAAATTTCATTTGGTATGATGACTTTTGTTTTATGAAATAATTATTAATCTGGGAATCAAATATAGTAGTTGATCAAATAAATTGCCTATGAGATTGTGTTAGTTAAATCTTTCCAAATTTCCAATTGAGGTGGGATCATATTGGAATGATTGAGGAGCTTATGTTAGTTAAAACTTGAATAGTTCTATTTCTCTATGGAAGTCATCAACAATGAATATTTTCAAATCACACAGTTTAGACCGAGAAGTATGTCGTACGATCATTTGTGCAATCGGATCATCGATCGAACATCATATGAAGGAAATCAAGGCCAAGAAGCGATTACAACAAAATAATGATATATTATTTTTTTTAATTGTTGGATATGTTTATAACTATAATAGTCATAGGCAACACCACGCTTAGCCATGTAGACAAGGTGGAGTAGCCCTAACTTCATGGCTAGGCTGAAGAATAAGTGAAGGGGTCATCCCCCAATATGGGCATATAAAAGAATTGTTTACTCTTAACGATTCAAGTTAAGTATGAGGTGGTTAGCACCATCATCAACATAGGCAGTCAAAAGAATGTCATTTCTAACACTGTTGGAAAAGCTGGGATATTGCAAGCTCGTATCCCTTGGGTTGAATTCAAATGAGATTTAAGATGACGATTGATTGCCAATGACTATTTTAGTTTGCAATTGCCGAGGATCATATGGACAGGATGTTGTGCAAAGTAGTTCCACCTGACATCATTTAAATTATTTTTGATAGTCTGTACCTGCATGACAAGTATGCAGTGTTGTATTGCCATCCTTATCACCGTCAAATGGCTAATGATTGGAAATCTTTATAAAGGACCATGGTATACCAATAATGGATGTTGTGACAACAGGATATGTAGGTAAAATTTTATATGCTACATAGAAATTTTAGCTTATATTGGCAAGCCTGTCATTACAGAAGAAACAATTCTTGCCCTATGTATATTAATTAAAGCTATAGACTAACTACAGCAACTGTAGGATAAGTATGCACTTTTCTTTCAAGAGGTATATGGGTTGTCACCATGACAAAAAGATAATATAAACTTGGTCTCAAATAATCGCTGATAAATATTATGATGAACCAGATCTTAATCATAGAAAATGAAAAGATCAAAAAGCAAGTTACAACTTTGTTAAAGACTAGTTGTTATTCAACTTAGCAATTTGTCATGTAGAACACATTTGTCATGGTCCAAAAATTGGCACATGGGGATTGTCGACAAAGCACACTCACTAAAATACAACAACATCAACATCAAGACTTTATCCCACTACGTGGGGTCGGCTACATGAATCATTTTTCTCCATTGTGTCCTATTAAAAGTCCAATCCTCGTTTAAATCTAATAAAGAAAGGTCATTCCTAATATTTTCTAACCAGCCTTTTTAGGTATGCATTTACCTTTCTTAACATAAGTTAAATCTAATACCACTACTCTCCTAACCGGTTCATCGGGAGGCCATCGTTTTATGTGACCAAACCATTTAAGGCGACTCTCTCTAATCTTATCTTCTACTGGAGCTACTCCAACCTTTTCACATATATGCTCATTTCGTATCCTATCTCTAAGGGTAAATAAAGCCACTCATCCACCTGAGCATCCTCATCTCTGCCACACTTAATTTAATATTATGCTTCTCTTTGATGGCCAACATTCGGCATCATAAAGCATTGCAGGCCTCACCACCATCTTATTGAATTTTCCCTTAAGTTTGAGAGGTACTTTTCTATCACACAACAAGTCTAATGCATTCCTCCACTTCAACCATCCAACTTGAATTCTGCTGATAATATCCCCATCTTTTTCACCATCACTCTGAACAAGAGATCCAAGATATTTAAAACGTGCACTCTTATTAATGACTTGTCGCCCAAAGTCACAATCCCCTCACTAGGTCTATTACTACTAAAATTACACTCCATATATTCCGTTTTAGATCTACTCAAGCAAAAACCTTTAGACTCTACGGTTGACCTCCATAATTCAAGTTTACCTTCAACTCCCTCTCTAGTCTTATCAACAAGAAGAATATCATCAACAAAAAGTATACACCAAGGTACATCCTCTTGCAAATGTCTATTGATGACTAAAGAAAAAAGATATGGGCTTACGGCTGATCCTTGATGTAACCCAATTGAAATAGGGAATAGCACCCTCACTAAAATAACATGGTTGGGCATTTTGGAGAGAAGATATTATAGAAGCTTCACATGGTTGGGCATTTTGGAGAGAAGATATTATAGATGAAGCTTCTATAATATCTTCTCTCCAAAATGCCCAACCATGTTGGTTGGGTCCACCTCTAAAACCCATTAGACTTGATTTGCATAATCTTATATGCACAACTTCCCTCCTTTCTAAAAAAGGCTACCTTTAAGAGCAAAATTTGAAGGATTGGCATTCTCCAAGTCCTTCCATGTCCTTTTGAGAAGTACTACTATCATTGGATATCTAGTGGCATTCGACTTAAATTTGAATGGTCGTTGCAAATTTGACAAGGCTAGCATAGGGGCCTTGCTTATGTCTTATAACAAGGGAAATCCATCCTCTTGTTTTAATTAGCATTTAAATTTGACATTTTCCTTGGTTAAAGAATATAACGAAGAGGTAAAATGCTAAAAAATGACATGAATGTACAAGAATATTGGTAGGCTCCCATGAAATTCTTCATATAAGCTATTATCTATGATGTTTGCTACTTTTTTATTGCTTTTACATTTTCAATTTGATTTCTCCATAATCCACCTCAAATCCCAAGAATATATACTTTTTGGTAAATTTGAACTTATTTTGGTTGAAATGGAGCTAAGTGGTTTTGTGAAATATGTAATACCTTCCTTCAATGCACCAGGTGCTCCTCCCATTTTATGGCATATACTAGGATATCATCTAAGTAGACAATATTTGAGTCAATGTCATGAATATTATTGGGTGTTCTTAGTTGGAGTGGTATAACCAATCGCTTATGCAACCCTTATCTAGTTTTGAAAGTCATTTTACATGTATCAATCTTAGTAATGTGTACTTAATTATAACTATATATGAGATTAGCTTGTTGAATATGGCTGTAACATTCAATTGATATTATAACTATATATGAGATTAGCTTGGTGAATATGGCTGTAGCATTCAATTGATCTAATACGTCATTGTTGCATGACAATGGATAATAGTTTTTAACCATTATTTTAGATATTATAGAAGCTTCAACAAAGTGTTTATTGGCCAATCATACAGTAATGAGCGCAAAAGAGGATGTGTACTTTGTAACATCTTTAAACCTGCAAATATGAAGCTAGGATTATTACCCATACCAAGTCATACGTGGGAAAGTACTTCCATAAATTTTCTAGAAGGTTAGCCAAAAATAAAAGAGGCCATAACAACCCCTATGGGTTGTGGACAGCTTTTCAAAGTTGATTTTTCTGATGCCTGTAGAAAACAAATCACAAGTTAGGTAGGCAGACTATTCTTCTAGCATGTGTTGACATACTTTGGATTATCCAATTTCATTATATTTGATGAAGATAGTTGATTATTATGCTGATTCTAAGAGACCATGTAAGCCATGATGAATAATAGATTGAAGAGGTAAATCACCTTTCACCGATAGATTGATGACCAAATGAAGGTAGTGAACAATATCGTGGCATATTTACTATGGGGAAAATCGTAAGCATCCAAAAGTTGGGATGAAAGTCTATCATATTGATAGGAAACGCTTGTAGAAAAAAGAAAGAACCTTGGTTGAATTTGAAATTCAGTAATTTGCAAAAGCAGAAATTAAGAGTAGATGGTGGAAAAACAAAATAGAACCTCTTTTAATTGATAATAGTGGAAGAAAACAACAAGATACAATTGGAGAGGAGGATCTAGCTCTCACAATCTCTAGACGCCGCTAGAGCCCAATTAAAACCTAAGAAGACTCCAAATTTCAGCAAAAGACAAGACAACATAACCCTAGAAAAACATCCTACTCAAAGAATACAATCAGAAAGGAATTCTATAAACAAACCCTCCTTTGAATTTTTCTTCCTAAACCACCTAAAAACCTTCCTAATTGATGCATGTTGGACCCCACGCAAAGAGGCGGGCTCATTTTGTGTGAAACAGGCGTTCCACCCCTGATAGAAGCAAAGTCGGTCCCTCCTGGATAGGCCCCTCTTGGACCGGTCTAACAATACTCCCCTCGCAAAGACCCATC